TGGGCCGGGGGTTGGGGGTTGGGGCGCGCCTACTGTACGAATGCCGCTAATAAGAAAAGGATCGTCAGAAAGGCGAGAGGTGAGGGTGGAATGCCGGCTATCGAAGGGGTGGGATCTGCAACGCCACCACTCAGGACGAAAAAAGCTCCTGGAAAGAGGATATAAAAACGAAGTCTAGAAAACTGGCAATCCTGGGCATCAATGACAATGGCAAGCCTCGCGACTGGCTTCTGGCTCCTGATATTCGCACCGAACGAGGGTTCCTGATGTGGCTCCGTCTGACTAGGAAGCGTTGGTAGGTGCTGGGGCTCGAAAATGCGGCTTCCAGTGTTTTACTGTTCGGAAAAAGAAACAGCAATATGGGCCTGGACGGAATTGAAGGAGTGGGTGCTTGTTGGAGATTTAACGACAGACAGGCGACGAAGTAACGAAGGCCAGTAGTAGTGCCAAGTATGGACGTCCACTATGTGAAAGTTCAGATCCAGTGTGGAAAATGCTGGAAGGAGAAAGAGACGTCGGAGCCGGTGTCGGGTCGCAGAGGGAGTAAGTGACCCTGTTTGTACTGGTAGCGAGCGGGAGACGAGAGCCTTGCCTTGCTTTGGAAGCAGAGAGAGAAGAAGAGAGAGGGAAGAGGGAAATCTATTCAACCAACTCCACTCTCAATAATGATGGCCAACGCTAGGTCGATCAAACTTCACATCTCAATCCACTTCCACGCCCCCAAACATACCCGCGCGCAACGTGGGAAGATGGGTGTGAGATTTATTCCCGGAGAGCTTTGAACATGGAGTAGCAGCAGCTAAAGAGCAAAGAGCTAATCGTAAATAACGACTGGCTTCACATCCCCTCTCGGCATCGGCTGGGCGGCTCTTTACAGTGGCTGTTCGCCATTCGTCTACTGAACACCCGCATCTCCAGCACACCGGGTCCCTTGTCCCGAGGATGAGCTCTCGTGGGTGCTGGTGGCACGAAAGGAAGGGGGTGAGACATCAGATTCATGGTAAGGACCACAATAAACCATGTGTGGTAGCTGTGGTTTGTGTCTGTGCTTGTGTAAAACCCATGTTGTACGCCGACGAGGCGTGTATCTTAAGCTTAACAAGCGGGATGAGTCCATTCCCAGGTAGGGGTCACGGACTACTCGGTACAACACAAACTCGATATCAATTTCGACCCAGCTCCTACATCTGCGACAGCGTAGGCCTACGAGACGTCTAATCGGCCTCTTCACCCTCCGATTCTCCGACACTCCGACTCTCAGACTCTCAGAGCAGTTGAAAGCCATGGGTCGTCTATGTCTACGACTAGCGAGCTGGCCTAATCAGCGCCCAAAAAGGCCCACGGTCAGTTCTTTGCTGAATATCCTTTGCGATTTAGGGCTCGGGACTTTGGGTATGGGTTGGGCCAGGCAGCCGCTGGATGGTATCCTCAAGGTTTAGAGGGCCGAGTAGTAGTTTTCTGGTGACTGACAGCGTGCTGCTTCAGCGGGGAGGGCTCTGGAGGGACCCCTGAAACAGGCCCTTTGGTCGTCGACGGGTCCGAGGGACAGTGGAGTGGCAGTGGACAGTCGTGCCGACGAGCACACTCGGTCAGCAGAAAGGTGTTGCCAGGGGAGGTGGCTTTTTGCGTGTGTGTATTGGGCTTCGTACAGCAAGTCTCGAGGCTTGATCCATGTTGCATGTGAGGACGTCTGTCGTTGAAAAGTTAGGCGGCCTACTTGCAAGCAACCCTGTCTATGCTTCCCTGTCACTTCTGGCTGCATCGTGGTGCCCTGGTGCCCTGGGCCTGGCGGACCTGCATGACACTGGCCCGACTTTTGGAGGATCGACACAGGCAGCGTGCACCGTGTCTTCGTGCTCTCGCGTTCAAAACCCCCAATTTAGCTGCCTCTGTCTCTGGGTCTCGTATGTCCAGTAAACCCCCGGATACGTCGATACCAATTACAAAGTACCAAATCACAAAGGGCCCACTGTCAAGGGAGAAAGTTAGAAAGTGCGCGGGAAAACGCGAATGGGAAATGTAACCCGTCGTTGCCGACAGGCACTCTGTGCTGCTGCTGACCGTCCGTCGTTGTTGAAGCAAAGGGCCATGGCATGAAGCCGTGAGGGTTCGCTCGAGTCAGAATCAGTTGGATCATGGAAGGGAGTTCGGCCGCAGGTACTGTACCGAGTGCTGACCGTGTGGGTTGCTTGCTTCGAAGTTGAAGGAGCTGGGAACCGTTATATTGGTTCACACGGGAAACGATAGATCTGGAGATCTGGAGTTGATAAATTAAAATGCGACGTTGTCCAGCCCGTATGGCAAGCCTGACAAGCCAACCTAGGAACGGCCAACCGGATGCAGCACTCCTGGTCAATAATTGCCTTGGTATGACTTGCCTCCAGCCTTTTCCAGGTTGGGGACCACAACAATTCCCTCTTCCCGGGTCAAGATTCAGAAGTTTCAGGGAAGCATTGGCCTCTACTCGCACTCTCTACTCCCAAGGCGACTTTGCTACCGTACCGTACGAGTTCCCAAAGACCAAAGTCGCATGTCTTCCTTAACTCTTGCAGAATCGTCTTCAATACGGTGTATCCATGTTGACATAAACTTATCCCGCTCAATGTACTTCTGCAGAAGCTTCGCAATCATCCGAACGGAGCCCGTTGAGAGACGTCCACTACCGCCGGTTGATACTCCGAGTTCATTTCCCTCCTGGGCCGTCAGCGAGCTCGCCTTACCCGCTCTAGCCTCTCGCAGACAGATATCAGCTTCTGCCTCCGAAGGTAAAAGAATGATTCGAATATCTGCTTAATTCTGCACCTGCTACACCTTCAAAGAACAGAACCAAACCACAAGAATAGAAACTTGTGCAAACCCTTCTTCATCATGCGCTCATCTACAGATGCCAAGTCTCCCTGAGATCGGACATGCAGTACATATCAACTGATTTGCTTCGAATCACCTGGTAACGATGCATATTCCGGTTGCTGCCAGCCCAGCTGCAATGCGACCGTCTGGGTGTGAGCACAGTCTTTCTCGCAAGTTCATCCCAATAAGGGCTGACCAGCAGATGCAGATCTGCAGCTTGAAACGACCAAAAGCCCCACGCCCCAGGCGTCGCAGGTGCAGATCGCTGTCCATCTCACGTGTCCCACAAAAGGGGCATGAGCCATCCAAATTCGGAGAAGAGCCTCAAGCGGCTTCTCTTCCCGACGACATTGTGTACTCCGTAGGAAGGTCCAGTAAGCGCATTGTAGGATCTTTGGGACTCATTCCTACAGCGTCATCCATCTCTTTCCTTTCATGCAATTTTGTTTCGAAACATTGCGTTGCGTTCTCACAATTTGGGGTCGTTGTTTTGGCTTGACCTCGAATAATTCCGATTTCCCTGGGAACTTACTGCATTGCGAGCGAGTAATCCGTGTCTCTCAGCGTCATCATCGATGCAGGCGCGGGTAGATGTCGCCACATCTTTCAACGAACATCCCGCATCTGAATTGTCACTTCGGAACATTTCCTTCCACACATTTCTACTTTCCTGTCAAGCCGTTGAGTCTCGCATTCAACTCGGCTGACGTGGCCGAAGGCCCTATGAGTACCGGCACTCAAACAAGATGAACCACTCCGTTGGGTCCAAAGCCATCGCTATGCTCACGTCCTCGGGCTTATCATCATCTCCTATCTTCCAGGTAGTTGAAGAATGACCTCTAGTTTTGTTTGCCGAGTTTTAGCCTCTTGCTTTATCTCGGTTGGTCGGCCTAATAAAGAATGTAAAGTCACAAAATGACCGGTTCACGCAAAAAGGGTGTCTAGTTCTTAACTTTGACCGGTAGTCCAAACATCATTATCAGGTGAATTACTGGTTTGGCATTTCTTCTTCTACGAGTACTTGTCTGACATCCTAAATATACACAAAGCAGCACAGACCATAACTACGGCTTCCAGAAGGCACTAGGAAGCATCCAAATTTACCCCAAATTATTGAGAGAACATCATTTCTCCCTGCGGCTAAAAGACCGACCATCAGAGAGCCCAAAATCTTCTCATCGCCTTTTCTTGAAGAGCCTCATACCACCCTACACAAAGTCTTACTCTTCAACATGGCAACTACCCCACACTTGCTCAACTACCAACAATCATTGGACTGGAAGCAGAACTTCATGCTGCTTGTTAGCTCCTACTCGAATACAATGCCGACTGTTGCCATATTTGATGTGCCGCAAACTCTTTTTTCATTCAGTACCTGAGCCATTTCAGGCATGATGCTGCCAGAGATCAGAGGAAGTATTCGGTGTTTCCGCGTGAAGCGATATCTGTTTCTACATGAACTGTATGTCGCAATGCATTCGATTTTCATGCGCCGTCAGCTGCTCGCCAGACGAACTTTTTGATTTAAAGGCTTAAAGCAGGTTGGGTTACGAGTATATCCTCCTTCGGCCACCTCATGCGCTGTCCACAGTGTGTATCCCTGCGGCATTTTTACGTTACGGAGTAAATACAGTAGTTTCAAGGATAAAAGTATATTTCCAATTATTTCTACGCGATAACTTTTTGCCGGTATTTAGAATTTAAAAAACGAGATCATGCAGAGAACAGACCGGATTCAAAATGATGTGGCTTATCAGAGTTGCGGCAATTATGATACCCTCGGCAAAGCAGCGAACAAGTAGCAGAATTCAGAGGCTCATAGAGGGATCGAGAGCCTCTGCAAATTGATTTACACAAGTCGTGAAAAATCCAATTCGGTTTCCCGCTCTCGTATATCGCCACTTCAGGGAAGGCGGCAAGGGCTAACTCCAAAATGACCTCTCGTCTGCAGCAGCCTAGACTAAGAAAAACCTTCGCAACTGGATAGGTACGCTCGAGCTGCCGCACCTCTACTGTACGGACCGTACTAGTAACATCGGCCAAGAATAATGGCACGTTGCCGCATATGTGATGAAATTTTCGGGCTTCCATTCATGACTAACGCTTTCTAATCCTGTAGGAACCTAACTTTTTTCCCAAGGTCCTGTAACAAGTGTCGGGACTCGGGCTCACGCGAGTAACCTTTTTGTGAGTCAGGGTTTTTGCTTGTTTGGTTTTTGATAGCGTGTGGGATGAGTTGAGTTAGGTTGGGTACAGAAAAACCTGGATATAAGGATACTGGAGTCTGGATATATGGATAACCTCGGTTATATCCTCAAATTTTAGGTCCCGAATCTTTTAGGTGAATATATTAAGGATACCTCTACCTATCCCTTACTCTGTAACACCGAGGAAACCGGTAGGTAGAACGTCCTTATCAGGTTTCGCAAGTACTGTTCTACTTTTCGATTGGCGAGAGTTCTAATGCCAAGCCTAATTAGGACGTTCTACTTACCGGTTTTCTCGGTGTTATAGAGTAAGGGATAAGAAGGAGAATCCTTAGTTTTTTGGGTCCCAAATCATTTTTACACCTAAAATAACCTTACTTATGTCCTTAGAAGTTATAGAATCCTCGGAAATTTAGTAATTCTATATGATTCCTTATATTTTAAAGTATAAAACTAGCACTTTATAATAAGAATTAGTTGATTACTAGCCTTATATAAGAGCTAGTAAGCACTATATTATATATACCTAATTTTTAAATATATAATTATGTCGTCGCCTACACTAAGACCCTTACTATCCCCTTAACACTTAATATATACATTTCCTTTTAAGTGTTTGCCATACCTACTTTGAGTCTTGGTACCTAATAATACTATCACTTTTTTGGTACGGGGCAAGTCGGACTAAGCCCCGTAGCGCGCCTTAGCATTATTCCGATCGGTCCGACCGCTCGAATTTGAAATCGCAAACTCAAAAATCCAAATGTATATATTAAGTATTAAGGGGATAAGGATAACCTCGGTTATATCCTTACGAAACTTGCCCCCACGAATATTCTTATATCTAGGTTTTTCTATAGAGTAGTAATACCTGTCCTACTTTGCTCAAGTGGGTTTTTACCCTACTCTACTTACTCTACTCGCTAAGTATCTACTTTAGCAGAGTAGAGGACTACTTATTTAGTACGGTTGAAGTTAGCCCAAGTCCCTGTAAAGTATGGGTATTATTCTGATTAATCCAACCACTTAGAGAGTATTAACTAGCGTAACCTATACTCTAGTGTAGTTAAGCTCTTTACTTAAGTAGTTAATCCTTCTATTCTATATTACTTAATAGAACTACCTACTTCTAACTTCACTCTCACCCTAATTCACTTGAGTACTAAGTAAGTAGTAGAGTATTTCATTTAAACACTAGGTTTAGGAACTCTTGTTAGGATGTTTAATATGGGGCTGGAAATGCGTAAGCGGTCCATGGAGAATAGAGACCTTGAGGTTTTCATGTGAATATGGTTACTTCGCTTGGGGCTATTTTTATATCTCGTGATGATTTGAGGCTAGTAATGTTAGTAAAAACTATGCTTTTATATAATCCAAGTATTGTTCTCCTTAGATTACAAGATCTGGTAACTCGGTATGCTAATTTTACGACGTAGTGAATATTATTGGCTTACTACATTTCGCTGTGACTTTGCGTTACTGTACGCGATTATAGCATGTTTGGCTACGCAAATTAGGTGATTTGCACCATACAAAAAGATTTGTATACATATTATAATATGCAAAATTTGCATACAACTCGTAATATAAGCGCTTGTTTAGATAGGATTAGATATTTTCGACTAAATTAGCTACAAATCCGCTGCGAATCTAATTACAAATCTTTCTAGATTTGGACCACCAAAATAAGAATATAAAAGAATTGAAGCCTTAACCCTTCAATTCTTTGTCTTTTGCGCAAATCTCTGTGTAGAACCTACAAAAATCGACGAATATGTGACGAAACAGCAAAACTTTTGCACTAGCTAAACAGTGGTGTATCCTCCAGCCTGCGCAAATCTTAGAATTTTGCACCTAATTTACATGGAGAGATTTACGTAGCGAAACATGCCCTTAGATAGATGTTAGGATAACTGTCTCTTCGACGGTAACTAAGGTATTAAGTTCTTATTATCTATTACAACTATAGAAAAAAATACACTTATTATCCTATATTCCTTTATCGTTGGAAAACAAACTTCTACTTCGTTTTCGAATTAACCTTTATACTTCTAGATCCCTCGACATCTTACCTATCTAGCCCTAGCCCGTGAGGGCATTATACCTTTTACTACCTCGCGTGGCCTTACACATGACCCGACGATTATACGGTGTTAGCCTTTTAGCTCAAAGTAACCCCGAGATATCCTATAATGAATCGAATAATATACACTTATTCTAAACGGTGTGAAAATGGCTAGACAATAGCGTAATACCCGAAAGATATAAGAAATACTCTCTAGGGACCTCTAATTAGGCGAGTACTATGTATAGTCCCTTTGTCAAGGACAAAACAGGAGACTGTTAGAATAAGCTGTGTGAAAAGTGGATGGATAAAAAGAAGCTAGCTAAGGGAGAAAGGAGTACTCTAATACAGGAGCTCTCCTATACCATGGATCCTTCCTGAATGAGACTAGCGTCTTCCTGACAAGGCTAGCGTGACTCATATGGATCCGTATCGAAAGTACAGGGAGTCTCGCTAAGCAAGAGTCACATGCTAAACAACGAAGGGGGTAAACTCCAGCACGTTCCGTAACACCCTTCGTAGAAGTAGTAAAAGTCCAGGGTATCTTAATTGTATGTTACGGGTTATTTTACAAGGTTTTAATATATAGAATACTAATTTCCTATAGTTTCTAGGGTTGCGAAACATCTTACTACTTTTGCGAGGGGGCTATATATAACTTTTTAGCTTCGCGCGCCCATGTACCCTTCGGGAGGTTACAGGAAGATTAGTCTTCTTAGTCTCTCCACTCGGCGTAAAAGTTATACTATGCTATACTATACCATACCACGCCCATCTAGTCTTGCCCGAATTTAGTTTCTTTTTATAGACCGTAATTTATCCTTTGTTCTTAATCTTGGAACTATATATCTATAACGTTCGGTATATAGAGCTATATTCCATTCTATTCTACCTAGACTACTTCTACATTACCTTTATAATAGACCCATTCTATTCTACCTAGACTACTTCTACATTACCTTTATAATAGACCCATTCTATTCTATTAATTAGTTTCTAGAATTCTAGGACTCCTATAGAATTACATTTATGGTAAATATTTTATTGTTAGGGTTATACTAACCAGTGGTTTCCACCGCACGGAACCTATATGAAATGGAACATAAAGGAGGGGTATATGCAAGGGCAATATAAGTCAGGCTCCTACCTATAGTAGTTATCTCTCTAGTTATCTAAATATAACTCTTCTGGCACCTTGGCCTTCTAAATTCCTTCTATATTCCTAGCAACATATTCTTATAGATTTAAGTGAACAGTTGTACTTAGCTCCGTATATAGATAGAGTAGTATAAGCAAATAGGGACATTTACGTAATATATCTAGGATACCTAGGTAGTCTATACCTACTCCGTATATATATTAGTAGTATCCTCCGGGAATTTCTCCCTACTCTATATAAAGTACAAGAGTCTAAGAGCGAATAGAGGCTTTCTATTAGTGTACCGGACCTAGGATAAATTTTTCGGGTTATATAACGGATTCTATCTAGAAATACTATATAGTTTATAGGATATGTGCGTTCTAGAATAGAATAGGATAATTCGATAGTTAAACGGAATTCTAGTTGCCGAACTTTATATGTCTATATTGTAAAATCTCACGATAATACCTGTTTTATCTTATTACTTTAAAAAAATAAAGAAACTAAATTTGTTTGATATTTATTAGAGAAATCCTTTTTTTACTTTACTTTAATATACCTTTAATATTCTTAATTTACTTATATATATTGGATAATTTGATTCGATGTTTAGTATTTAGGTTTTTAGCTAAATAACACATATACTTGTTAGAATACATTCATCGTATTTAGCTCTAGACTAATTAAGCATTCTTGGTATAAGTATATAATACTACTATATTCCTCGTAGTAAGCTCTCTATCTCTTAGTAGGAAGGTACTATAGGTAACCCAATGTTGTTGGTTATAGACCCTAGTATTGAGTCTTTTTTTCTACACGTAAATGAAAACGACAAGTAGGAACATGTTACGAGAAAATCTAAGCGAGAACACGATAATTTGTACACAAACGAGGCTACATGCTTTAGACGAGGCAAGGCGTAACATATCTCAATTCTCTATCAACAACAGAACCAGAAAACCGTGATGGTTTGATCCAAGGAACCCTACAAATATTTCTCCTCCCAAACCAGCTTGTCCTCCGTCACGAGCTTCAGACCATTTGCTGGCAATCCCTCCGCCTTCCAAACCAAGATTTCTTTAGTAAGAGGTTTGGCACGCCAAATAACCTTCACTACCTTTTCAGATTTAGCAAGCTCGGCGCCGACAAAATTGGCATTGATGGTAGCGACTAATCTCTGGTGGTGTTGATTCAACTTCATAATAGCGCGGGAGGGACGTTGGCCCTTAAAGGGCAGCGGAATGATCAATACGACGCGTTTTAAAAGGGGAGAGTTTTGAGCGATGGTGTTGATGAGTCGTACAGCTAACGGTGCATAGGAACCTGCGCAATGAATCGTGAGGGCTCGGAGGTTGCTGAGGCAGCTCAGATTGGTACTGGTGGTCTTCTTGAGGTAATATTCGAGAGCCGTGATGAGAGCCGTGATATAATAGTGCTTTACGCAGGGCTGAAGGACAGAGCCGCTATTGCGGCGATTTCCAGTGATGCGACGGTACGCAGAGCTACGAAATACAGAGGTGCGACGAGAAGAGCTGCGATCATGCCCTCCAGGTTTGACGCTGCAGCGATAGCATTGTCTGGGAATCGAAGTTAGCATCTTCCTGAGTTTGGTTGAACAGTTTTTTTGACAGGAGACATGAAACTTACGGTACATCAATGGTCAAAGAGCCAATCTTGCGAGCATTGGACTGCAGAAGTTTCTCGAAGAAATTATGCAGAGAAGCCTTCCAGTAAAGCTTTCCTGCCGTATCGAGATAGTACTCGTATTTTTCGTAGTAGATGTCGCGTGCTTGATTGTACAAACTCTTGATGAAGGCGGGTTGGGATCCGCTATTCATGCCTGTCACAAGGGCGAGGAGGAGATTTCGAAAAGGGAGAATGCCGCCGGAGCCATCGCAAGGTAGGAGTAGGAGGCAAAAGAGGAAGATCTTTCTTCTGATATCCTCAGCAAAGGTTGCGAACTTCTCAAGGTTCATCTACAGAAGTCAGCCTTGTCGTGACATGTGTTGGTCGTGACGTACCGTTGCCATTTCAGTCGCTGCGAAATGACGTATGTGGATGTCAGATGGACATATATGATATGAATTATATTGCGAGGGACCCCGCAAGAACTGGTACACGCGAATTGTTGTCTGGGAACTTGGTGTTGTGAGAGAGGTGTGACAGTGTTTGGGAGAAAGGCGTGTTGTGCGATAAACTGCAGAGAACAATAAAACCCTCAAAGTGGGGCTGACTCCAAGTCCTTCTTAGCAACGTGACCTACTGTGGCGTTCATCTAACAAGGCAGGCACTCTTGGAAAGTGTTAAAGAGATCGGTGCTTCAAATGGTAATTTTGGGGTGTTAGTGTTTGGAAATCAACACATTTTGGCTTAATTTTTAGCCGACTAAGAACGTCGACCACTTACGTAGACAGACTAACAAACAAGAAAAGAAAAGAACTATTCCAAGATTTTTAGCTACATATAGTAAGCTCTTTGTGTGTAAAGCTGGTTGATGGGTATTTGTAGAAGAGTTTTGATGTGCTAGTAATTAGCCGAATTAAAAGGGGTAAGTCGGCTACAGTAGTTACGTAGTCACGTAGTCACGTAGTAGACAAAATAAGCGGGACTTTTTTGTCAGTGCACCAACATTACTAATTCATCAAAATCCTACTTGCATCCTTCTCACCTCCTTTCACTCGTTTAGCTTTCTTACTCATTATCCATTCACCACCACCTACTCTCTAACAATCCTAACCGAAAATTTCCAGTAAGAGTAAGGGGTCTCAAATCAGAGGCACTGGGGGCATTATCTCCAACCCCGCTTACCCCCCCCTAAAAGTCATCCCACAACTTGCACAGGCTTCTCAGGTAAGTAGATGGGGCTCAAAGAACCAGAGACATTGTAATACAAACCTCCCGATCTTTGAGTAACTCCCAGCCCCTCACTTGAGGTAACTTTGATGAAACATTACCAGAACCATCACCCAGTGAATAGGCCCCCAACCAGGAAGAGCAGCTAGCCTTGCCTGGCATAGACCCTCCCGCATGACAGATATTCACTTAATCCATAAGGCAGAGATGGGTACGAGAAAAGAAAATGCCAAAACATCAATACTCTGGTGCGTCACACGTCTCAGTGGTGACAAGCAATTGTGACACCTAACCGCCTCTCTCAAGTACGTTTTCGTTGAAACGGATCAGTTGGCGTGACTTTGGAAAATTAGCAATAGGCGTAGATGGTGCGCTAGCCATGCCTTCCCTACACTCATAGGTACATATGGAAGTAGAGACAACGGAGGAAAGAGCGACCCTCAGATCTAAAGCTCATCCCGACTACTTGTCTTCCAAAATTGTTGTCTCAGCAAGACTACTATGGGAAACATAGAAGGTCAACGTTACGGTATTTAGGATGATAGGCCCTTGTTAAATTTCACAAAAATTTCACGAATTCAGTTGCACGAAAGACAATAAGTATGGCTCAAAATATTTTCATTATGAGCATACAGAAGTCCGTAGACAACTGTAAGATCCTCCCATTGTCATGATCATTACAAATCATAATCCCCCAAACGCTAAAAGACAAACCGGTATTCATGAAGTAGAAAAAGTCTCAAGTTTACTTGAAGACCTTACCATCAGCCCATTGGTATTCTTTACCATTGACTGTGATTGGCTTCTCCCAGGTCCATTGGTCATCAACGAACTGCTTGTCCTCAGGCTTGCTGGCATCAAGCTTGGTGAAAGTGTAACTCTCATAGTCAGGAGCGACGTCGAATGCATGGAGAGCATCTTGGCCACGGATGACGAAAGCACCTTGGATCACGGAATCATTCTCAACACCGTAAACGGAAGCACAACCGAAGATGTACTTGCGGGAACCCTCAAGACGAGCGAAGAAACCACCAATAAGGTTAGAGGTCATGAACACTTTAGTAAGCTCCTCGTTGTACTTGTAGTCAATCTTCCAAAGTGAGTACTCCTCTCCATTGAAGTTCTCCCAGAACCACCTGAGAGCATCTGGGGTCTCAGAGTTGGAGTATTGACGCTTCCACTCATCGATAGGAATGGTTGGCTTGCCGAGGGCCTCAATTGGGTGCTTGGCCTTGGGTGGGGCTGGAGCCTCTTCCTCTTCTTCCTCAACCTCCTTGGGCTTTGGCTTAGGAGCTTCCTTCTTGGCCTCCTTCTTTGGAGCAGCTTCCTTCTTTGGTGGAGTGTATTTGATGGCTTCATCAATGAAGTTGAGCTTGTCAACGACAGCAGAGTAGATTGGCTGGTTGTAGACGGTCTCGTACCAACGAGTAACGTTGGGGTTCTCGGCACGCCACTTCTTATCGAAGAAGAATTGGAAACCACGGGAGATGATACCAGCAGCGAAGAGATCAGCAAGAGTGATACGCTCACCGGCAAGGTAAGTGTTGTTCTGAAGGTGAGCCTCGACGGCACCGACTGCTCTCAAAGCATTCTTGGATGCAGTCTCAACACCGACCTTGTTGTATGGGGAACGTCCAATGAGAGGACCGAACCATCCACCGAGGTTGATGAGGATATCGTGGTTAAAGTAAGACATCCACTTGAGAATGGTGGCATAGCTACGATGGTATTAGTTGAGTTCTTGGTGGAATAGGTGGTGAGTCAACTTACTCTTGCTTGGTCTTGCCGAGGAGGGTGGTCTTCTCATTCTGGGAGGTGACTAGAATATGGTCAGCAATCAATTCAAAGTAGTTACTCTGTGAATAAAAAGTGAAAGATAGGAATATGTTCAGAGTCTAATTAATAAAAATCAACACGGGGTATTAAGACAGGGATAACTGTATGACATGTTTCTTCATCATAACATAAGTGTGTGGTGTGAGCTTGGAGGACCAAGCAAAAGTTTGAAACAGAGGAATGTGCGACATACTGTAGATGGCGATAGCGATGGCCTCGTGGATAACGTAACCGTCGGTACCCTCGAAGGTTGGAACCTTTCCGAGAGGGTTGAGCTTGAGGTACTCAGCTGGGACGGGTCCCTTGAAAGGGTCGGTTTCGACGATCTCGAGGTCCACGTTGTTGGCCTTCGCGACTGCGCGAATGGCAACTGAGCGGGGGTTACCCTATCGAATTGTCAGCTACGAGTGCGCGAGACGATGCAACTGATGCTCGAGAACTTGATTGACATACCGCATAAGTGTAGAGCTTTCCGAATGGTGCCATGGTTGCTTTGTTGTTCTGAGTGGACGAAGTTGTTGGAAGGATGAGTCAGGAAGAGCTCGCAGAAATTTCAAATATCTAGTGGCGGGGCAATGGCGCCTTACCTGTTTTGGCGTAGCACAGCAGTCAAAGCTTCTCACGTGATCTTCAAAAATACTGACGTTCCGAGCGCGGGAAGCATATTTGGATTGGAGGGACGACAAGCAATCACGCACCATTTACTACTTGTACAACATACATTGGGGCGGCCATATCTTCACAATGAAGGGATCATGGCTTCCCATAAGTCTGAGGGAGACTTTACAATGCGCATACTCTCCCAGACCCCTCACATCCTGCAGACAACAAGCTCTCAACATCCGACCTAGACAATTCACCACCGCTTCGCGAAAGCAAGCCATTGCCGCTCCAGAAATCAATTTTAGGGACAGAAGGGATCGGGATCCAGGAAGAGGGGGCTGGGAACGGGAAAGAGAAATAGGTTATCAGGGTGGAGGGGAAGAGCAATCTGCATTCGTGGCTCGTCTTTTGCCAGTATCTCCATCATATTTCACGGCGCAACCCCTCTTCACGGACGACTTTTTGGTTTTACAGAATCTTATGACGAAACACTCGGGACTGCCTTGTGTAAAGCCAGGAGAGCATCCTAGAGTGGCATGGCGATCGCTTTCCGAATACCGAGATCGAGTTGGCGAGACTGTCAAGGCCGCGAAATACCATAAAATCGTCGAGATTCTCGTTCGTCTCAATAAGATACATCCATCCGTCCGACCTGAGGAGGTACAGACAGCCCTCGACCAATATAAACGAAACATCGATCCATTCAAGAACGAACAGAAGACTGCGCAGGTAGACAGCTTGGGACGAACACTGGGAGCTGGTCGGAGAAAGTCTGCTACGGCAAGAGCATGGCTCGTGGAAGGCACGGGAGAAGTTTTGGTTAATGGTAAATCGTTGGCGGATGCATTTGGGCGTGTGCATGATAGAGAAAGTGTTATCTGGGCCTTGAAGGCAACGAATCGAATCGACAAGTACAATGTATGGGCATTGTCGATGGGTGGTGGAACAACAGGTCAGGCAGAAGCCTTGACACTGGCAGTCGGAAAGGCATTGATGGCACATGAACCTGCATTAAAGCCTGCGTTACGGAGAGGTGAGATCAACTGTTCTAATGAAATCCTGCTATGAAATTGCTGACATGTAAATAGCGGGATGCTTGACCCGTGATCCCAAAAGAGTTGAGAGAAAGAAGCCCGGTCATGTCAAGGCAAGAAAAATGCCCGCATGGGTCAAGAGATAGATTTTCTGTGTATTATATTGTACAAAGGGCTGTCCTGTATTTGGAGAATTGGCAAAATATAGCCACCTACATTTCCATTCAATGCACAAACAGAACCCCGCTTTCATTCCCGCTTTTCTAGCAATTGTCTTCTGAAGGGAATTACTGTACCCTCTAGTGAGGACATCCCACCAGTGTGACCTTGAAGCCCCTCCAATTGTATCCACAATTCCACAGGACCACGATATCTCAAATACCCCTCTTTACCCCCCCTAATCCTTCCCACGACCACCCTCCCACAAAATCCTCTCCCAACCATCACTCCTCCAACCCCCCACTCAAGCTCATAACACGAAGTACTATCATCTGCATACCCTCTCCATCCTCCTTCTCAATCCTTATCCTCCTCTAATCCTTCCCACGACCACCCCTCACCCCTAAAAAATCCTCTCCCAACCCATCACTCCTCCAAAACCCCACTAGAGCCCACAACACGAAATACCATCATCTACACCCTCTCCACCCCACCTTCTCTAATCCTTATCCTTACCAGAAACCCAAAAACCAGTCCCTCTTTCTCTTTCTCCCCCTTTTTCTTTTGAAAACAAATAAGCATAGTCCTCAAAATAACATAAAATTCCCGAAATTATCTACCCTCCCTTAAGACTATCACTCTATATATAAATACTGTGATATCACGAGTCCCATCACCTCTTTACTCCCTTAGTAAAATCATAATAGATAACAGACAATAGGTAAAAAGTAATATAAGATATAGGTACGGCGGGAACTTGTCAACTTGAGAGTAATACAGGAAAAGAAAGTGAAATACCTACCCATCCATCCACCTACCCACCCTACAATAAACCACAACCTATCCCATCCTATCCCACCCTATACCCCAACATACCACACATAACCACCTAGACCAAGACCTAAAATCCCCCTCACTTCCAACTTCCCTAAAACAAAAACCCAAAGAAACATATTGTCATACCATCTAAAATATCACTTATTTATCTTATAACAATCTTGAAATAAATTATAAGAAGAAGAAGGAGAATTATCTAGATAGAAGGTTAGATACTAGGTAGGTAGGTAGGTAAGTAAGTTAGTTTACTAGTATAAGAGAAATTATGATATAGTGATATATTAGGTATAAAGGTAGAGGTGGTAGAGGTAGTATAAACCTACACATAAACTACAGCCTACACCAAGACCTAAAATCCCCCCTAATTCCAACTTCCCTAAAACAAAACCCCCTAAAGAAACAACCCTTTTACCATCCAAAATACCATTTATTTATCTTATAACAATCTTGAAATAAATTATAAGAAGAATAGAATCATCTAGATAGAAGGTTAGAGGGTTAGAGGTTAGGTAGGTAGGTAGGTAGGTAGGTAGTAAGTAAGTATTCTAGTCTAAGATAAATTATGATATAGTGATATATTGAGAGGAAATGAGAGGTGGTAGAGGTACTAGAGGTGGTATGATGAAGGTTTACCTTATCTACCTACCCACCTCAGCTTACTATTTATATCTATATCAGTTCCTATACCCATACCCATTTGCCAAATCCAGAATCTACGTACTCATATGATATTACCACATAACATCCTCATCCTTATCCTCATCCCTGTATTCCACGAACCACAAACTACCATCGGGACCCATGATCGAAAACCACGAATTACTATAGAAAACCATAGATAGATAAGTACAAGTATGAAGGTATAGTAAAGTACTAAGGTACTTTATACTATTTATATATTTAAATTTCAAAGAGATAGATAAATACCCTATAGGAAATCGAGGCTAGAGATATACGAAATATCTAATACTTACTATAGGCTATCCTAGGATATAAAACTATCTCTAGTATATATATTTTTATATACTAATAGTAGATATAAAACTTTAAATATTATACTAAAGATATAGTTCTCTACTTATTTATTGTGACGGTTATGGTCACAAGGGCTGGATGTCACATGCTCGCTTAGCGAGGCGCTAGCGCGCACGACCTGTATTTAGTTCCCAGCTCTCTCGAGCTCTCCTTCTTTCCTCGTCTTTTGTCCTAAGAATAGAGTGTTAATTGTTCTGAGTTCTACCTGAAGCACGTCTGTCACATTTATAGGTCTATATATTTATTTATTTACTTATTTACTTATTTATAGGAAAGGGGGGAGAAAGGGGTAGTAATAAGAGTATAATAAAAGTAGAGACTTATAGGAAGGGATACAGAGAGAAAAATAGTTAGAAATAACTAAGTACTTATAAGTAGGGAGAGAAAAATAAAAATAAAAATAACTAAGTATACCTATAAGTAAGGAAGGAAAAGATAAGTAAAAATAAGTATACTTATAAGTAAGAAGAGAGAAAAATAAGTAAAAATAACTAAGTATACTTATAGGTAGAAAGAGAAAGGATAAGTAAAAACAACTAAGTACTTATAAGTAATTTATAGAAGTAAAGGGAAGGGGAAAGGCCTTTTAATATAAATAGATAGCTAATAGAAAGCTCGGGTTATACTAAAACTCTCTTAAAAGTTAATCGGAGAGGCTATTAACCCTCTATCCTAGTCGTATCCCTAGGTTCCCTACTTTTAACTACCTAATTAGGCCTATGTACGAAATTTTCGTACGTGTACGAGAATCTCTGCCACCGAGTTCCTAGAGGGATACCTGGTACCTGATACCTAGTATGTAACTTGGGTAATGGGGTTTAAGGGAGTTAAAGAGTTAGATATAACTTATAAGCAAGAGCACCCGTCAAGTACGTTGTAATACTAATATCACAATAAAATCCCTACGTCCAAGGATACCAAAGTCTCTTAAGATATCCATACCGCAAAACATCATGCGAAAAAAACTTCAACACATCCATTCCACAATCCACACAACAACTCCAAGGCAAATCAAGAAAAACTCAATCATAACTCTCATATTCATTATCAATTCCTATCCACCTCACCCAATCACCCAATTCACCCCAAAAGCACCAGGCTACTCTTCCTAGGCAAGTACTCAACCGCTATGCATGAACGCGAACCCCACCTTGCCTCATGATTCGATGCTATGCTAGTGTAGTATATTGTAACCCCGGATAGCAGACAGCCAGGAAAGTATTTGCATCCTCCTCCCTCGAGCAGCTAAAGGACCCATTCACTCGCATCATCCGAGGCCGTGACGAAAGGCTCATCGATTCGTTTGATAGCAAAGTCACTACACAGGATACTACAAAAAGAAAACGAGTTAGTCAGACTAGTCACATACCCAGAAAAAGATGAGGGTGAGTAAGAAAGCGGAACGATAGGAAGAGAGAACCAGGAAAGGGAGAAGTGGAAGAAAGAAGAAGAAAAAAAAAACATACCAACTCCCAGCAACCAACCAATCCAACTCCGCCACCAACGCCTCCCTCTTCTTCCCTCCCACCATCCCCCGACTAACCAGCATCTGACACTCCCTAATTCTCTTCCCCTTCCCAACACCCACCTGCTCCAGGACTCTTCCCGCCAGACAATCACTATGAAATGCATGCTGGCAAGGAAAAACGAAAAATTGTCGACTCAACAACGGCAGGGAGCAAACATAGCATTTCTCCCCCGGTTCCACAATCGCATAACGTTGATCCAAGGCTTTAATATCATTCTTGATATTCCCCGCCGTCTGCGAGGACTCATCCATTTCTTTTCTTAGGGCATCAATGTTTCTCGAGTAATCTTCGAGAGCCGTACAGATTTCCTCTTTGAAATCGTCGATGACTACGAAGTCGGGGAAAAAAGGGATGAGATCCTCAATTTTGAGGAGGTCGCAACGTTTGAGGAATTCAATGGCTGTTTTGATGCCGTTGGATTGTGAGATGACTTTCTTGGCGACAGCGAGCCAGAGTTTCTTTCGTAGAGGAGGGTCGGAGACTGGGCGGTCCGCAATGATGGATGCGAGGTCGATTTGGGAGTGTGCGAGAGCGAGTTCCACGGCTTGGAGATACTGACCCATGGTACTGTAGATGAAGACACAGGATTGGACACGGGAGTGCTGGATGCAGAGACGGAGGGCGAAGTCTGCGTCGAAACTGGGCTCGTCGCCTTGGGATTCGAGATAGGCGAGAAGTCCGGATTCATCTTTGGAGGAATGTGATGCGTAAATAGATATCAGGGTATTATGTACGGCGGCGTCGGTTGAATTGAGGTTGTTGATGACATGAAGAAGGTATCTAATGGCTTGATTCTTGGAAAGTGGTCCTCGGAAATTTCGGTCGTAGGTAAGTAATGCTGGAATGAGGTTACGGGCTTTGAGATCAGAATGCCTCATGAGAATATCAACAAGATCTGTGGCGACATGTGTAATGAGACCACTACTGTATCGATAAAATATTTCAGGATCTGTTTGCTTCTTCAAAACACCGAGAACCTCCTTCCATCGCTCTCGTTGCATCCAGTACGCTAAAACATAATTGTAGTCATTTACAGCACTGGCAAAGTATAGCAGCTCCTCTTCTCGTCCATGACTGCTGATAATATCATAAGTTGTTTTCTGATCCAGATCTGATTTGTGCTTCTTTACAAAGTCCTGGAATTCCGTACGGATAGTCTCTAGCTGATCTTGGGTCTGAGATGTATTGAGCGTCTCTGATAGTTCCGCCTTGGTAATAATAGTGTCATCCAGAGAATTCAGTTTTGACATGAAAGTTTCCACAAGCCAGCTTGCAATCATGATACGCTGCATGATCGATGACTTTTTATACGTGGTAATTTTCGTCAAAAGATACTTTCTCAAAGCATCCTGTTGATCGTTATCAACAAATGTTAGAGCCACTTGCTCGAATGGCTTGCTGCTTTTTCCATATACACCTGCCGCCTCAAGATATGCTCCTTTGGTGATGAGGTAGTCACCAGATGCCGTTGCAACCGCATCTTTCTGTGCTGGATTTCGAGCATATCTCAAAGCTGCATCAAAGTGTTCCGTTGCCAACATGACCTTCCAAACATCGCGGTCTTCATCTGTAACGACAATTTCAAAAACCTCTTGTGCTGTAAACAACCAGAAGGTGTTCTTTTGCTGATCAGCAAATAGCCCCAGGGCTTTCTGTCCAGGGTCTAACACAACTCGATCGAATATGACGCGATCATCCAGCCTATTGACAGCAATGACGCGGTTTCCAACCAAGGTCAGAATATGCCATTGTGTTAGAGCAATAGATTCCACAGGATCTTGAGCAGCCTTCTTTCTCCCACCAGATGTTTCTGCTACAGGCAGTTGACACCTAGGCAGAAGTTTTGCTTCTGCAAACAACTTGGTGCCTAATGCAGGTGCTGCAGGTGATGTAAGCAGCCGGCCATAGTAAACACCCTGTGACGACAACCACGCAAATACCCGGTCCGGAGTCAAACTCTCAAAAGTATTCAAATCTGGAGGATCCGGAGAAAAAACAAGCGCAGAAGGCGCTGCGTTCGATACTTTGGACATCTCATGCACCGTAGGCTGCTCCGTTTCAAATAGTTTCGTGAATATAGAAGCTCCTCCTTCATGTGTTACTTTCCCAATCTTCCCAATCAAGTGTAGAATCCGACCTTGTGTGGTAATCAAGACCCTCCTAACATCTGGTTTTCCCGCCACAAGGTCAACCCATAACCCAGTTATTGGACCATCTGGGAGCTTCTGTAGAGTTTTGAGGTATTTGTCTTCCTTTCTGTAGAATTCCGTAGACGTCTCGATATATCCCTCGTAGATATTTCCATCAGATGCACCAATCAAGATCTCTCTCGTAGAAGCCGTAGGAAGGGAAGGATTCCATCCTACTGATTCAATCGAAACACCTCGGAGTCGAGAGAGTGGTGTGGGTTTTTTGGATTGTGTATGGAGGTAATAATTCTCTCCAAGGGCCGTACAGATAATCAGATGTGAAGCGGTGGGATCGAGGAACATGCGCCGTATAACGCCAACTTCAGAAACTCTCTTGGGCAGATCGATATCTAAGAAGTTCTCAGCACAGAACGATGGTACACGAAATCAAGAGCCATACCATCAATATCAGCGGGGTTATCAAGGTCTATGCGAAGTAGTCGACCATTCGCAAGAGCTAGTACTAGAATATTGTTTGCGACCTGGGCAGCCACGAAATCAGACGCTATGGGGAACTGCAGTTGAACAGTCTCAACATTGAAGATAGGCAGGGGATTTTCAGTGAGATCCTGCAGATTTCTTGCGGCTACATAGCCGTTGGACGGATCGAGAGCCATTCGAGGTGGTGGGGAGCTACCTCATGGTTCTCGTGGCCGAGGCTGTGATGGAGTTGATGAGGTCCAAGGCTGATAGCTTTCGGAGGCGGATTAACCTCTGCCGAGAAATGGGTAAATTCACTTGGTAGCACAAACTCGAGCATAAACTTTTCTGTACAACCCTTCATAAACCGTGGCTGATGCTGAGTAACAAATGACCAATATCAAAACTCTATTATAGGCAGCGACCCCTAAACCCCATTTTCCATCCCGATTCCCTCACATCCACAACCGCTCAATCTCCCGCAGGCATCCATACATTTCATGCATACCGTATGTCCACAACCAGGAATTGAAAATAGATCCACGATGAGAATCTCTCGGCCAACAGCATAAAAACATTTTAATTACCCTTGTATCAAAGATGGGAAAAAAAAGGGTAGTACATTACGTACGAAGTAGTACGTACTTCGAAGTACGTGTCAAAAGTAATTGGTGTATTCGACGGAATGAAGTCGAGACAGTGTAGAAACAGTTTTACAGATTCCGCTCTATTAAGGGGGAGTATTTGGTTTCATTACTTTTATGGAATAATTAATCTTTTGTTTTTTTTGGAAATGCCTGTCTTAATCACTGAATTAATTATTTCTCTAGGTATGCTCAACACTAGTGGTAAGTTAGTAAGTACTGAGTAAGGTAGCCCGAGGACCCCTAAACCCACATGACAAGACATGAGTACCCTACAACCCTACTCGTACAGCCAGTCCTATCCATAGAGAAGCTTTACTCTAGGTAAATTATTTCCCAATTGAGGATGAGAAAACGCCTTACCAATTGCTGACAATCCCATCGCCCCTCTTACGTGCATCCAACCCGGTTATTCTCCGTCACCAAAAAACCTCATCCCAGAAAGTCAAAAAAGAAAAAACACTTTTTGACAGGTTAGCCTTTCTCTTGTGTTTGCGTTTGTTTGACGTAAATCTACTCAGTACCCCTGCTTCGTTTCAGACCGCTCATGGGCTCGTGCTCGCAAAAGAGAAGTTAAGTTCGGACTTTAGAAACCGCGGCAACAAAAAACATTTTCCTCAAGAGGATCCAACTTGCGTCGCTTTCGTTGTTAGGCTTTTTGGTTTGACTTCCGAAGGAGGCTTTTGGATCTTGGCTGTCGTGTTGTTCAAGGATTATTTTGGGGGATCCACTAGATAAGGAAGAAATGGTTGGTGCTTGCTGTCTCGCTTGTCTCTCGTGGAGCGAAGAAGATGGTTCTTTTGATGGGTTCACAGGATTTTGTCGGGCCGGGGATGGTAACGTTCCAATCCCCCTGAGGCTGATTTTGCCAGAGAGAATAGACTTCGAGGCCGTGTAACTGGAACTATTCGCGCACAAAGAATCTTTGATATCAAAGGATATGCTTGAGGAGGGGTTTCTGAAGCTCCCGAGACCCTAAGCGCCAGCTTCGGATTAATGATGGTCGCGAGAACATTTGGAATGATGAGGGGGAGATGCTTGTGATCATCATGTTCGTGACCTTTGATTAACATCAATACCATCGCGGTTATGGCATTATTGTTTGAGGGGAAAGTAAGATCTTCATCAAGCCCTCTTCGTTATTGCACGAGCTTCAGATGATTTTCGGGTGATGACCTCACAGTGAGTGGTGATCACTGCTTTAAATGAGGGGTACTCGAGTACGGAGCACAAGCGAAAAACAATCCGAACTCGATTTTCCAAGCACTGCATCAAAAGGGCCGGTTGAGATGAAAATCCGCATCTTGAAATCCGTTTGATGCCCAGGTTTACTTTATCACGAACTCGTATGATGCAAAGCTCGGGAGCTTGAGTGGGATGATTAGCAGCTTACATAGTCCGAAGAACCCCGCAATCATGCGAGGCGATCTGGAGAGTGTGATCATTCGATGCCTGCACTTGCTTGTCGATGCCAGCTTTTTGTTTCCCTCCGTATGGTGGTGGGTGCAGTGCCGATGATGATGCTGATGTGATGCCCCAAAGCTAAGGAGCCACTGTTCTCTGCTCTCTTCGGAGTTGTGGCCGCTCGTAAGCCTTTAGTTTCAAACAGGCTCGTTACAGCTTGCACCATATTGTGGGTCTTGCGGCGCTGAGGTTGTTTCAATGTTGAGCGGAGCAGCGCCAGACGATTGGTTGCGAGAACTTGTTCGCGGCTGGGGATCCCTAGCGGGTACTGATCGATTGGCGATATTGACATGGCGGTTGGCTTACCGTAAATCAACGTCTTGGTCGTCGCCACGAATGACGCTGTTGGGTTTGAGTGAGACGGGGAGGTGTGAGGTGCGAGGTGCGGGGTGTGAGGTAGCAGTAGTGAGTGAATTTGGAGTGAGGTGATGGTGATGAGAGGAAGAGGAGGGTGTGTGAGAAATGGAGGACAGAGAGCTATTTGTAAAGTGTGCATATGTACGGGTAGGGTCATGGGTGGACTGGCTCGACTGGCTAGGACTGGCCCCCAACCAACGAGTGTTATTTGACGAGGCGGCGAGGTGCTTTCAGCCTCTGGCCGGCATCGTGATGTGATCTCTCTGAGGAATCCTGGTATGATGATGCTGATGATGCTGATGCTGATGTAGGCCGGAACCATCAGTTCGACATCAGCCTGAATGATGGTGGGAGACGAGGACATCTACGCTACTGTAGGGTGGGAATTTTGAGTTAGGACGGAGTAGGAGAGGAGAAGCATTCGAGCGCGATATGAGTGCAGAACTGAGTACTTGGTACTGTACTGGTACTGTAGAGTTCTGAAGCCCGAGAGCGCCCTCGGTAAACTCTATTGAGCGAGATTTCTGGAAGCCCTCTTAGCGGAGCGGAGCGTACTGTAAATTTACTCGTAGCGCGTGGCCACGGTAAGCTTTCAACGCAAAAGCATCGCTTGTGAAGCCAAAGAGAAGCCAGCCCAGCCCAACACCAACTCCAACACCACCACCAACATCCTCGCCCAGTCTCACTTCACTTACCACTCACCCCTTCGCTCTCTCCGCGCAATTTCTCTTCAAGCACAAAGATCGCGGCGCTGCTGACGACGTATTTGTTTTGGCAGCGCATAATCCATCGTCCTGAGGAGTGATTTCTTTGTTGTGCCTTGTGCCCTAAATAGCAAATGTCTAGCGAGATGCCAGTGGTGGCAGTGGCAGTTCAGAGGACAGGGACTTGCCACTTGGACCATTTCCTTTACTCCATACGTGTGCGCCCCGGACAACCGAGAGGCTTCGGGGAGTTTATCAAAAGGGTTCTCGCGCCGCTGTCAAACTCCATGGCGACTTCCCTGCGCGTGCACCTTCCCTGCTTCCCTGAAACGCAGCTTTTGTAGTGTTCCCTGTCCCTACTGAGCAATGTTCTTCGTCAGTTCCCAGAGACTGCACTCGCACCTGAAGTTTATCAGCAGGCACTGGCAGCAGTGGCAGCAGTGGCAGCAGTGGCAGCAGTAGCAGCAGTAGGCCCGGGCCAGTCGCACACTGTAAAGTCGGCTCCAACCACCACGCCATCTCCTGTACTGTATATTCCCAGGAGCAGGCGCTAATACTCACTCACTACTCCGTACTGTCCTCTCTTTGTTCTCGTCGTGTGTGAATGTGAGCCTTCAACATCTAAAAGTTTCACTGGTCTTTGTCCTCGGAGTCGCTCGTTGATCCTCTCACATCCCGAGGTCCCAAGCCCCCACTCCACTGGTGCCACTGCCCACACTGCCCACACTGCCCACACTGCCCACACTGCAACCCATCAGTGCATCACCCATCACCCATCCCACCGTGTCTCCAATCCACCCCCTTTCCCTTCTGGGCCAATCTGATCCACCTGCCAAAGACCTGAAACACAGCCTCGTCGTTTCTGTGGATCGTGGAGAGAGAAAATCATCCATCGCTCATCCAAGCACCAAGCAAAGTCTTAGCAAGCCAACGCCGGTGCCAGACTCACAAACTCCTCACCAAACACCGCCAGAGCGCCAAAAAGGCAAAAACAAGCTGCCATCCTCCGCCATCCCTAAACTCCACCACCACCCACACGCACACTCACAGTGGCCTCGCACATAAACAAGCAGAGCCCAAGAAATCATTCCAGACCACGCACCCCCGGCCAGCAACCAACGTCAGCTCCTTCTAACTTCTCCCTCCAAACTGTCAATTGTGCTTGTCTCACACACTACGTCGCCACACCGGTATACCGCCCGGTCCGTCGCTACATCTACCGCGGTCCTCGCCCTCGCCCTCGCCCTCGCCCTCTTCCTCAACCTCCTTCAGCCTTCAGGGCCTCTGGTCATCCACCGCGATCGAACCCACCGACGACCTCACTTCCGATCGCCTCAACTAGCTTCTAACTTCACCTTCACCTCCCATGCATCGCTAATACCTCTCTACACCATGGCCATGTTAGCTTCTAAAACGCCCTTTCCGGCACCTCTGCTCTCCAGCTCCAACCTTTCGTCTTCCTCACAATCCACCATTCCTAGTCGACGAGCACCCGCTGTGCCGAATACAAATCAATCTTTCGCCAGCCCAACAGAATCTGAGTTCTCCGACATGGACGGTCCAGAATCAGCAAAGAATTGGGATGAGGAGAAGGTGTGCGACTGGTTGAAAAGCATCAACTGTGGCGACTACGAGCAATTATTCCGAAAGAACAACATCACGGGCGACAACCTGTTGGAGATGGACAAGGCGGTGCTTCAGGAGATGGGTATCGAGAAGATTGGAGACCGCGTCCGTCTCTTCCTCGGCATCAAGAAATTGAGAACGAAGGCATACGCGAACCAGAAGAAGAGAAATAGGGTAAGTGATGAAAGTACGCGTGCCTCCAGACCGAACTTAACATGTGAATAGGATTCCTTTGCTGGACTCGAAACCTATACTCCATCATCTTCTGGTTCCCCTCGGCCTCCTGTATCTGCACGAACTGCGCCAACTCCTACCATGAACAAAAGATGGTCCACATATGACGGCTTCAACCCTTCTCAGACACCTACCATTCAGGAGAATGTCAAGTCCCCACCATCCCGTCCAAATTCGCCAATGACAGCAACCGAAGTTCGCGCTGTTCGCCAGCAGAGAAACCCCGTCATGAGTCCAGCCGAAATGGCAAGAAAGCAAAGCTATTTCAACAATTCTAGCGGGTCTTCAAGTGCAACCACCATCAGTGGTCGACATCCCAGTACTTCGGGAGATAGTCCACAGACGGCGCGGATAATTAGTGCACACACACGAGGCACTGCCGCCAATGGATCGATCGATGCAAGCTCGGTTATGGCACAACTCCCTCAGGGACAAGGCCTGATCCGGGTCATCTCACAGGGTGGAGTAACCAAGGTTTTCAGAGTTGCAGACTGCAATTCATGTGATGAGTTTATGAGGCTAACCTTGAGAAAATTTGGCGCTCGAGAGGACCATGATAGAAACTATTGTTTCTGGGTGCTCAATGGACTAAAACCAGATCCAAAGCAATGTCGCAGGTTATCAGAAACGGAGTTGTGGAGGATTATCAAGGATTACACACGGGGGGAACGCAATCGCCTTATCCTGAGAAAAATCCATCAGGGGGAACCTGGTGAGGCCGAGCTTCAACGTGCATCTACCATCGCTATTGAGGAGGTCAACGTCAACCACGCCAACAACAAGAAGAGCAAAGTTGAAAAGGTATTGGGTGAATCATACGGCGAGGGCCTGCAGCATGCTCAACATCCTCTGTCGCCAGCTTCATTCCAGTCAACCGGCTCAGCTGTATCGGCGGGCGAACGGCAACAACATTTTGATAATGCAGCGATGGACCTTGAAAGAGGTGCGGTCGACCATGCAAGACTGCGGGAACCAACGAGAAGGCAACTTATACCTGGAGCTGCTGGTGGTAGTAGCAAGAAGGGTGGCGTACTTCGTCAATTCTTTGGGCAAAGACCTCCCAGTGAGCTCATCACTTCAGACTTGACAACCTATTTCCCAGATCACCCGCGAGAAGAAATCGACCGTACGGCTCGTCTATCTCTTCGAAGATCTACCCGCCTTAGCAAAGTCAACAGTCGCCTAAGCGTTGCTAGCAATCTAAGCTTCGCTTCAAGTATTGGAGATGCCCCACCAATGCCCACGATTGCCGACACGTGGTTGAGTGGAAACGGCAGTCACCTTGCGAAAGTTCGACCACTGGATCTCTCCCGAAATAATAATCGATACAGAGACTCCACGGCCTCGTCGTTACTAGAACCCCTACAAGAGGAGTCGCCGGTCGAGCCCAACCGCAAATCTTATGTCTCTTTTGATAGTGGCAGTGGATCCGATACTACCAATGTCAATATTACAGATCCGGAAGGAAATACCCAAAGCTATTTTGATGAAGTTAGTACAGACGCCAGCGGATCACTACGAGATCTTAGTCAGGCCTTAGATGACGATGGAGAGGATGCTGATGAAGAGCTGCAAAGTTTCCTAGCAGGAGATTCTTGGGATGATAGTAAATGGATGAAGGGTGCGCTTATTGGACAGGGGTCATTTGGAAGCGTTTACCTGGCTCTTCACGCCGTTACTGGTGAACTTTTAGCTGTCAAGCAAGTGGAAGCCCCTTCACCTGGAGTTAACAGTGCCAACGACTCGAGAAAGAAGAGCATGATCGATGCTCTCAAACGCGAAATCAGTCTTCTTCGCGACCTCCAACACCCTAATATTGTACAGTACCTTGGTGCAAGTTCTTCTGCCGAGCATCTTAACATTTTCTTGGAATATGTGCCTGGTGGATCGGTTCAGACGATGCTGAACTCGTATGGTGCTCTCCGAGAGCCACTCATCCGCAGCTTTGTTCGTCAAATCGTCACCGGACTTGCATACCTACACGGCCGAGATATCATTCATCGAGATATCAAGGGCGCCAATATTCTAGTCGACAACAAGGGTGGAATCAAGATCTCCGATTTCGGTATTTCCAAGAAGATGGAGGCATCGAATATCCTCACCGGAGCTGCCAACAACAAGAACCGGCCATCATTACAAGGTTCGGTGTTCTGGATGGCTCCTGAAGTCGTCAAGCAAACATCATATACCCGCAAGGCAGATATTTGGTCCCTGGGCTGTCTGGTTGTTGAGATGATGACAGGAACACATCCCTTCCCAGATTGTTCCCAGCTGCAGGCAATCTTCAAAATTGGTGGTGCAAAAATCAGCCCAACCATTCCTGATGATGCCAGCGAAGAAGCTGTGACTTTCTTGAAGCAGACCTTTGAGGTTGAGCATGTTAAGAGACCCAGCGCCGAGGAGCTGCTGTTTAGTCCTTTCCTCAACCCTATAACATAAACACAAACGACACATTTTTTTTTCTTTTTTGTGGATATATACCAATCGGTCGACGATATTTTTCTTTTTCTTTCTGTATCTTTCTCTAGAGCTTGGCTTGCGTTGCAGAGAGTGGTAGGGTGGTGGTCATTGCATGGCATTATATTGTCTTCTTTTTTTTTCTGGATGGTTTTCATATCTTTTGGAACCTCTTTTTTTTATATCTTCCTCTTTTTGTACAAAAGATTTCTCTTCTTCTGATGTTTACACGATGACTGGCAAAATTCAAAATCTCCTTTTTCTTTTGTAGATGGGATGGTGGGGAAAGGACTGGCTGGTGCCAGATGTTGGGGTGGAATGTCGGGGTCTGGGGATGGGGATGGGGTGGTAATTCTTGGTAATTCTTGGATGGGGTGGTGTGGTTGGTTGGTTGGTTGCGATGGAAGGATCAGAGATGACATGATGGGATTTGAATGGGTATGAAGGAAATGGATGGTTAGATGTAATGTACAAACCATTGAATGAACGTACATGATATCTTTTTTTGTCTTGATTGGTTGATTCTTGTGATGTAATGTTTCTCTTGTGAATCTGAGATGACTTGTGGATTTGTAGTGTAGTGGGGTATTGGAGTTGAGTGCTTGGTGGTGATGGTGTGGAATACAGTAATATGATTGGATGGGTATCATGAATGTGTATAAAGGGGCTGGCTCGCTTAGCTACCGTATACATCTCGCACCCCATCAGGGATTCATCATTTATAGGTGGTTGCTTCCCTAGGGGCTAGAGAGAGGGTTTGAGCGAGAGCCTTGTTATCATTTTACTTGACTTTACTTTGGTTTACTGGAAACTCGGGGTTTGGTTGGGGTTCTTTGTTGGTGTTGGTATGGTGGTTTTTATTTTTGGGTTTTTGGGTGGGTGCTGGGTGGGTGTTGGGTGGGTGGGTGGATGGGATGATAGGGGGGT